CTGCAAAGGGACGCCGCTTACGCAATGGAAAGCCTCCCTCGAAGCCACGCCCCTTTATGTAAAACCGCATTCGAAGTCACGCCCTTTATGCAAAGCCTGCAAAGGGACGCCGCTTACGCAATGGAAAGCCTCCCTCGAAGCCACGCCCCTTTATGTAAAACCGCATTCTAAGACACGCCCTTTATGCAAAGCATGGAAGTATGAACCAGGCGTCTTCCAAACCAAACAGCCTTCCTGATGGAAGCCACGCCTTTTATGCAAAACAGCCAGGCTTTTAAATATGGAAATCGTGGAGGGAGGAACGCCCCCTTTCCCCATTTTTCAGCCTGGTACAAATAGCTAAGCATATTTATTTGCACACATTCTTATTATTATTATTATTATTATTATAGTAAATAGTTAAATTATATTAATAAATATTTCAGTATTATTATATTTACTTCATTATTATTATAGCAAATTCAATTAATTAATTAATCATTATTTCGTTATTATAATTTTTCATTATTGTACTTATTTCATTATTATAGAAAATTTTATTAATTAATCATTATTTTATTATTATAATTATTTCGTTATTATTATAGCAAATTTTATTCACTAATAATTTTTCATTATTGTTATTATTTCGTTATTATTATAGCACATTTTATTAATTGATAATTATTTCATTATTATAATTATTCCATTATTCTTATAGCAAATTTTATTAATTAATCATGATTTCATTATTATTATAATTATTTCGGTATTATTATTATTATAGCAAATTCTATTAATTAATAATTCTTTCACTATTGTAATTATTTTATTATTATAGCAAATTTTGTTAATTAATCATGATTTCATTATTATAATTATTTTGTTATTATTTCATTATTCTTATAGCAAATTTTATTAATTAATAATTATTTCATTATTATAATTATTTTGTTATCATAGCAAATTTTACTAATTAATCATAATTTGATTATTATTATAATTATTGTTATTACAGCAAATATAATTAATTAATTAATTAATTATTAATTTATTAATGGCATAAAATTATTCTATTTTAATATTTAATTATTTTTGAAATATATTAATTTTGATTGTGAGCCTTCTAGGATGGGATTTGTAGTCCAAAGCGATTGGGGCCAGTGTAAACTATGTGAATAGTAACCATAGCGGTCTGGGTCATTTTGGGGGTTCCGAAATAATTGTCGCGCTCCTCCGGTGCGACTCGAGGGTCCTCGACGGGAACTGCGGAAAATAAAAACTCCGACGACGTCTCGTTCCAAACGATAAACTCTCTCTTATTTTAAACTCTTTCCTGACAAAACGATGCATAGATTGGCCTCTGCGACCGTCCCCTTTGCCCCCCTTTATTGCCCTCTTCCCTGACCGGGACTTCATGGACGCCCCCAAACTGTGGCCGGACCAAGCGTCTCCGTCCCCGACTCCCGTTTGTACATTTTTGGTCCCTCGTTGCGAGTTCGAATTCTGGCGAGATCCCCCCCCCCCCTTTTGTCCTGTTCCCCGGCCAGCGGGGAGAAGACTCGGGGGGTTTACGGTAGTGATTTTTGGCACTTCTTCTCCTCCTCCCCCCCCCCCCCCATCGTTCATTTGCGCCGGCCGAAAATGGACTTCTTTCCGGGGTTCTTGTCGCCGACGCTCAGGCCGATCAGGAGCCGGGCCTTCTCGTCTTCCTCCTGCTGCTGGACGTGGCCCTCGAGTTTGGTGTCCGGTTTGCCCCGCAGGTCAGTGCCGGACGCCGGCTTGAGCCGCAGCTTCTCTTTGATGACCTGCAAAACGGACGAGAGGTCAAGAACCGACCCTCCCACTGGCTACTTATAAGGGGAGAGTGGGCGGGGCTACCACCAAAAATGTTTCTAAGGCTTTCTAGAAAGTTCCGAAGCTGTCTGCTCAGACGCAGAAACTACCATATGTGCAATTCACAGTTGACCCACTGGCTACTTATATGCTCAAGGGGAGAGTGGGCGGGGCTACCGCCAAAAATGTCTCTAAGACTTTCTAGAAGGTTCTGAAGCTGTCTGCTCAGGTACAGAAATTACCATATGTGCAATTCACAGTTGACCACTATGGGAAACTGTTGAATCGGCTGACCTAAAGGTTGGCAGTTCGAAGCTGCAGGTCCGAGTGAGCTCCCACTGTTAGCCCTAGCTCCTGCCAACCTAGCAGTTCGAAACAAGTAAAATGTGAGTAGATCAATAGGTACTGCTTCAATGGGAAGGCGCCCATGCAGCCATGCTGGCAAGGCAACCAGGACGTGTCTATGGACAACAGACTCCTTGACTTGGAAATGGAGAAAGAGCCCCGCCCCGTGGCCAGAGCTGGGCACCGCCTCCAGAAAGCCGGAAATGGAAGGGGAAGCCTTTACCCTTGTAGTTGTACAGGGTTAGTCAAAATGAATAGGCCAATAAGAAAATTAATTTTAGACGAATGTATGTTTACTGTAACCAAACCACAGCTACGTAGCGACAGATAAACTATCAAAGTTTTTTTTGAGCAACACACATGTACGTTAATGCCGCTAGGCGTCGCTAGGGGTCGCTGTTTTCAAAATGGCAGATTCAAGCAAAGAGAAGGCGTTTTGTGTGATGACATTTGCTAAAACAATGTCAGTAATTACGGTCCAGCGAGAATTTCGAGCCAAGTATGGCAAGGAACCACCTCATCGACATTCCATTGCGAGGTGGGTAAAGCAATTTGAGGAGACGGGCTGCTTATGCAAGGGTAAAACCACAGGACGACCACGTGTCTCCGAAGACACAGCTGCATTCGATGCCATTACGTCGGATGTGCTGCAACGGATGTGGAATGAACTGGACTATCGCTTGGACATCTGCCGTGTCACACGGGGCGCCCATATCGAACATCTCTGAAGGTGAGACAAAACTTTGATAATTTATCTGTCGCTACGTAGCTGTGGTTTGGTTACAGTAAACATACATTCGTCTAAAATTAATTTTCTTATTGGCCTATTCATTTTGACTAACCCTGTATGTTGTGGTTGTTCCACTGCATTAAAGGCATGGAATGTGGTGTGTCTGCCAATTTGGGGTCTTTGTGGTGAACCCGGGCCCTCCCCGGCCTTTGCGCCCACGCTACCTGGGCCACCAAGGCCTTGCGGCTGTCTCGCTTGACCGCCATGGCGAAGTCCAGCCAGGTCCATGTGTTGTTGTGGTATTCGAGGCACGGAAGCACCAGGTTGAGGTCTCCCCAGTCGACGCTGTTCTTCTCTCCCTGTGCACCAGACAATAATAATAACAGCAATGACAATAGGTAACACGCTGGACCACAACAATAACAATAATAGACAACACCATGGACCACAACAACAAAAACAACAACAACAACAGATAACGCTCTCGACCACAACAACAATAGATAACACCCTGGACCACAACAACAACAAAAACAGATTAACACCCTGGACCACCAAAACAACAACAACAATAGATAACACCCTGGACCACCACAACAACAACAACAACAACAACAACAGAAAACACCCTGGACCACAGCAACAATAACAATAACAACAACAACAACAACAACAAGAATAGATAACACCCTGGACCACCACCACCACAATAACAATAGATAACACCCTGGACCACAGCAACAAATAACACCCTGGACCACAACAACAACAAGAATAGAGAACACCCTGGACAACCACCACCACCACCACCACAATAGATAACACCCTGGACCACAGCAACAAGAAGAATAGATAACACTCTGGACCACAACAACAAGAAGAATAGATAACACCCTGGACCACAACAACAAGAATAGATAACACCCTGGACCACCACCACCACAACAATAGATAACACCCTGGACCACAACAGTAGCAACAATAGATAACACCCTGGACCACCACCACAACAACAATAGATAACACCCTGGATCACAACAACAACAACAACATGGACCACAGCAACCACAGCAACAACAAGAACAGATAACACCCTGGACAACAGCAGCAACAACAACAACAACAATAACGGGTAACACCCTGGACCACGACCACTACCACAACAACAATAGATAACACCCTGGACCACAACAACAACAACATGGACCACAGCAACAACAGCAACAACAAAAATAAATAACACCCTGGACAACAGCAACAACAACAACAGATAACACCCTGGACCACCACCACTACAACAACAACGATAGATAACACCCTGGACCACCACAACAACAACAACAGATTAACACCCTTGACCACCACTAAAACAACAACAATAATAGATAACACTCTGGACCACAACAACAACAGATAACACCCTCGACCACCACCACAACAATAATAATCGATAACACCCTGGACCTGCCTTGTCCTTGACCCCAACCCCAAAACAGAGGGAGATTTGGATAATACCAGCCCCCAATCTGGATCTTCTACTGTGTTGCTACTCAGAGATGGAGCCTCTTTGGCCAGGGACAGTCTACCTGCTCATTCAGACTAAGCCACCCCTTCCCCTTCACCTTGTAGCTGACGCAGAGCGGCACTTGCGGGATCTTGATGTAGATGAAGGAGTTGTTCATGGCGGCCCGCTCCTTCATCTTGTCAATGTCGTCCACTGGGTACTGTGGTGGAAAGAGGCGGTCAAAGGCCAGGCGACCTCGAGGGTGCCCTTTTAACCCCCATCCCTTTTATCCTTGCCCCGCCCAAAGACCACCTTGCCAAGTAGGCCAGGCAATGACCCATTCTCTTGGGCGAGTGTCCAGTGAAAACAAGGCCGGGTCAAGAGTCTAGTGGCCATTTTGACCACTAGACCCTCAAAACCTTCGGAAAACATTGCCGTGTTTTCCTCTTCCTTCCTCATCAGTGTTTCTTTGAGTGTCTCCTAATTTTAGACCGTACTTACTTCGGGGGGCTTCCGTAGTGACCGCCGGACACCCGACGTCCGGTTCAGGCCTTGGGACATGCCTTTCCCTGGACCCAGTGAATCATCGGAGACCATCAGTTGCCGCGGCTTGACCACTGGCATCCCTAAGAAGGACAGAGAGGCCCGAGGAAGGTCAGCAGCGGTCCAACCTCTCTGGGAAGCGGGTTCAGGTCTGCGGGCAGCTACAGGATGACCATCCTATCCGAACCTCACCTGTGGTCACTAGCTTGGACTTGTCCTCTTCGTCCCCGACTTCCTCCTCCTCCACATTACGGCCGGGGAAGAAGAAGCCCATCATGCGGTGGAAGAACTGGTGGGTCAGCTGGATGGTGAGGGGCACCACGTTGACCTGGAGAAAAGGGAGAAAGTGACCACCAAACTCCATCGGTTAGTCTCGCACCGCTGTCATAGTAGCATCCGTCCACTTGTCAGAAATATTAAAAAATAACCGGGTATGACAAAAGTGTGAGTCAAGCACTGAAAGGGTTAGTAGGCCGAAGCCTGTTGAGTCAGTGGGCCAAAGCTAATGTCGTCCTGAGGAGTGTGAGGTAAACCTCTGTGTGAGAGAAGCCTAGTGTGAGAAAGCTCCAGTGTGGAGGCTGCTTTGTTTAAAGCTACTATGTATTTGTTTATTTGTGTTATGGAAACCTAGTTGATTACAAAAGTGTGAGTCCAGTACTGAAGGAATTAGTAGGCCGAAGTCTGTTAGAGAAAGTAGCCAAAGCTAATATCGTCCTGAGGAGTGTGAGGTAAACCTCTGTGTGAGAGAAGCCTTATGTGAGAAAGCTCCAGTGTGGAGCTTTCTATACTATGTACTATGTATTTGTCTATTTGTGTTATGGAAACCTAGTTGATTATGAGTCCAGCACTCAAGGAATTAGTAAGCTGAAGTCTGTTAGAGTAAGTGGCCAAAGCTAGTTGTCCTGAGGAGTGTGAGGTAAACCTCTGTGTGAGAGAAGCCTTGTGTGAGAAAGCTCCAGTATGAAGGCTGCTTTGTTTAAAGCTTATGTATTTGTTTATTTGTGTTATGGAAACCTAGTTGATTACAAAAGTGTGAGTCCAGCACTGAAGGAGTTTATTTATTATTATTTATTTACGTCATTTCTATCCCGCCCAGATCAGGCCGAAGGCCGAAGTCTGTTAGAGTCAGTGGGCCAAAGTTAATGTTGTTCTGAGGAGTGTGAGGTAAACCTCTCACACAGAGGTATACCTCACACTCTTCAGGATGACATTAGCTTTGGCCACTGACTCCAACAGACTTTGGCCTACTAATTCCTTCAGTGCTGGACTCATACTTTTGTAATCAACTAGGTTTCCATAACACAAATAAACAAATACACGCAGCAGCCTCCACACTGGGGCTTTCTCACACAAGGCTTCTCTCACACAGAGGTTTACCTCACCCTCTTCAGGACAACATTAGCTTTGGCCACTTACTCTAACAGACTTTGGCCTACTAATTCCTTCAGTGCTGGACTCATACTTTTGTAATCAACTAGGTTTCCATAACACAAATAAACAAACACACGCAGCAGCCTCCACACTGGGGCTTTCTCACACAAGGCTTCTCTCACACAGAGGTTTACCTCACACTCCTCAGGAGAAGCTTCAGTGAAAGAAGCCCCAGGTTAAAAGCCTTGTGTGTAAAGATGTGTGTAAAAAGCTACTGTGTAAAGCTCCAGTATAATTTTGTTGTGAGAGGAGGCCCTGTGAGAGCGAAGCTGTCTATCTGCATCAGAAAGAAGCCCAGCGTGGAAGCAACGAAGGAAGTAGAAAGGACTTTATTTGTGTCTTTTGTTAATAAGCCTACTCGCCCATCAAGGGTTATGGGCCCAGGATAACTCACCTCGAAGTGTTCTTTGATGGAGATGCCGCCCACCGGTGGCCGGACTTTGCTGAAGATCCGCAAGGCCAGTTGGCGGCCGGATTGGCAGGCGCTCTGTGGCCGGAGGACTACCTGCGGGATGGAAGGGATGCTGGCAATTATAATAATAGCTTACAAATGATGCCACCAAAATGAGCTCATATAATCACAGGGATGGAAGAGACCACATTCACCCCGACCAACCCCCTGCAATCCAGGAAGACACAATCTAATCCCTCTAGACAGATGGCCATCCAGCCTCTGCTTAGAAACTTCCAGAGATGGAAGAAGCCTCCACTGGACTCTGAGGAAACGTATTCCACAATCGAAGAAGAATGTTTGGGTGGAATCTCCTGCAACTTGGACCCACTTTTGAGAAAAGGAGGCACTCTGTGCATGCTCAGGAGGGCTCTTGGATGACTCGTTTCGCTTTAATGCCCAACTATTATGGCCAGAAAGCAAAAGGGGAGATGGAAATATGGCCACTGACCTTATAGACGGCATTGGGGAGGAGATTGTTCATGGTGACCCAACCCAATTCGAGAAGATGCTCGGCCGTATCATCCGATTTGTTCACCTATGCCGGAAACAGAGCAATTCAGGCGTCCAGATAATGAGACATTTCTTAATTGCAACCCAAATAATAGCGGGATTAGCTCTGTATGATGGGACAAGGAGTTGCAGTGCCCATCCCCATCATCTCTAGCCTGGTGCCCACCTTGCTATAGAGGAAGCGCTGCAGCTCCAGTTCGGCGATGCCTAGCTGGCCGTCCTCCTCGGTCAGCCGCCACCGGGCCTGGGCGAAGTAGAACTCGGTCCGGCGCACCACGCCGACGTCCTCGGGTTGTTTTCGCAGCTCCATCTTGTTGGCCCGCTGCAACTGGAAGTCCTTGAAGCACCTGAGAAGAAAGGGGGACGGGGAAATGAATGCCTCAGATCCCCAGTGATCGGCTCCCTCGAATAGATCCAAGAAAGAATGAAAACTATGGAAGACTTCATCCAAAGGTCTGCTTTCTCCCTTCTCCAGCACGTTTCCATCTCTATACTGCCCCTTGTGGTTGATCGGAGCACTGCATACAAACATCCCTGTAGGCTTAGCTAATCCTTTCTATCTCTATACTGCCCCCTTGTGGTTGATCGAAGTACTGAACACAAACATCCCTATAGGCTTACCTAATCCTTTCTATATACTGCCCCCTTGTGGTTGATCGGAGTACTGAACACAAACATCCCTATAGGCTTAGCTAATCCTTTCTATCTCTATACTGCCCCCTTGTGATTGATCGGAACACTGAACACAAACATCCTTAAAGGCTTAGCTAATCCTTTCTATTTCTATACTGCCCCCTTGTGGTTGATCGGAGCACTGAACAAAAGCATCCTTATAGGCTTAGCTAATCCTTTCTATCTCTATATGGCCCCCTTGTCGTTGGTTGGAGTACTGCATACAAACACCCCTACAGGCTTAGCTAATCCTTTCTATTTCTATATTGCCTCCTTTTGGTTGTTCGGACTCCCTATTCCAGTGAGCGACCAGGGCATCGACAGAATTACCATACAAGGCAGCGGAAACATCCCCAAGAGCCATCAGGAGTCCTTCTGGATCCATAAGCCTCCTGGGGCGGACCATCTTAATGGGTCCACCACCCCTGCAGAGGTTAGAAGTTGCAGCAAGTCTAAACTTGATCAGGTGGTGGTCAGTCCATGGCAAAGGGGAGATTGATAACTCCTCCACACCGCCACCTTCTTCCCAGCCCTGACAGAAGACCAAGTCAAGTGTGTGTCCAGCACAGTGGGTAGGGCCAGATATTAATTGGGACAGCCCCATAGTTGCCATGGAAGCCATGAAGTCCTGAGCCGCTCCTGAAAGAGTGGTCTCTGCATGGACATTGAAGTCCCCCAGCACTACAAGCCGCCGGGACTCCAATGCCAGGCCTGAGACCAACTCTGCAAGCTCAGGTAGGGCGGCCGTGGTGCAGCGGGGTGGTCGGTACACCAACAACAGCCCTATTCTGTCCCGGTCTCCTAGCCTCAGGTGGACACATTCAAACAAGGTCGACTGTAAGGCCGGGCCCCTGACCAAGGAGATGGAATCTTTATAGACTATTGCAACTCCGCCTCCCCGCCCCCCGGATCTCGGTTGGTGTTGCACGGCATAACCTGGTGGGCAAAGCTGGGTGAGATTAACCCCTCCAGCCTCGTCCAACCAGGTCTCCGTGATGCACGCCAGGTCTGCCTTTTCATCCAGGATTAAATCCTGAATGGTTGATGTTTTACCATTGACATTTGTGTTGGCCTGAGGGTCGGTGACCAGAACAGGATAGGGATTCTGTTAGTGTACCGACCACCCCACTGCACTACAGTCTACCTACCTGAGCTAGCCGTAGTGGTCTCAGGCCTGGTGTTGGAGTCTCAACGGCGTATTATGCTGGGGGACTTCAATGTTCATGCCGAGACCACTCTGTCAGGTGCGGCTCAGGACTTCATACCGCTATGGCAACCATGGGCCTGTCCCAATTGGTATCGGGTCCCATCCACAGTGCAGGATACATGTTAAATATGGTTTTCTATCAGGGATGGGAAGAAGGTGGCAGGGTGGAGGAGCTGACCATCACTCCGTTGCCATGGACCGACCACCACCTAATCAGGTTTAGAGTTATTGCTCCTTCCCACTTCCACAAGGGTGGTGAACCCATTAAAATGGTCTACCCCAGGAGACCTATGGATCCAAATGGATTCCTGACAGCTCTTGGGGACTTTCCCGCCTCCTCGGTAAGTGACCCTGTCGAGGCTCTGGTCTCTCTCTGGGATAGGGAGATGACTAGGGCAATAGACACGATCGCTCTTGAGTAACCGAGCTAAACCAGCTCCTTGGTTTACTGAGGAGCTGGCAGCGATTAAGCGAAAAAGAGGAGGCTAGAGTGCATGTGATGCCGGAAGCATAGTAGATCAGCCTGAACATGTCTGGGTTCCTATTTAAGGATCTATGATGCAACAATAAAGGCCGCACAGAAAACATCTATTGCGGCCAATATTGCATCTGCTAAGAACTGTCCAGCTGAGCTGTTCCGAGTTGTCAGGGGACTATTAAATCCGCCTCAGAGCGAGATCCCCGACAACTTGGCAGATTGCTGTGAAGCATTTGCTCGGTTCTTTGGGGACAAAGTCGCTCTGATCCATTCCGACTTCAACGCCACTTTAACAGCAGTCTCTGTGGATGTAACACGAGCATCCGCTTGTCCAGTTTTAATGGATTAATTTCAATTGGTTCAGCTCGAGGATGTGGACAAGATCCTTGGAGAAGTGAGGCCTACCACATGCATCCTAGACCCCTGCCCATCCTGGCTGATGAAAGAAGCCAGAGGGGGTTTGGCAGAGTGTGTTAAGGTGGTGGTTAATGCCTCTTACAGGAGGGCAAGATTCCAGCCAGCCTAAAACAGGCTGTTATGAAACCGCTGTTGAAAATACCATCACTGGACCCCACTCAATTAGTCAACTATTGGCCAGTTTCCAATCTTCCCTACTTGGGCAAAGTCACGGAAGGTGTGGTGGCTTTGCAACTCCAGGGGTTCTTGGTAGACATGGATTATCTAGATCCGGCAGTCTGGCTTTAGGCTTTAGGCCGGGACATGGCACTGAAACAGCCTTGGTAGCCTTAGTAGATGATCTACGCTGGGAGCTAGACAAAGGGAAGTTTATGCCTGTTGGTTCTACTGGACCTCTCAGCGGCCTTCGATACCATTGACAACGGTATCCTTCTGGGATGCATGCAGAAATGGGGATTGGAGGTACTGCTCTGCAGTGGCTCCAGTCCTTCCTGGAGGCTCGGTCCCAGAGGTGACAGCTGCTTGACCCACAACCGTTGCCTTGTGGAGTCCCTCAGGGTTCAGTACTGTCCCCAATGTTATTTAACATCTACATGAAGCTGCTGGGGGAGATCATCCGGAGTTTCAGAGTAAGGTGTTATCTGTCAGTAAAGTGTGAATAATGGGAAATTTAAATTGTATGTTTGGAGCCAGTAATGTGAACGTATGCAGGACTATTCAGCGAGTATAGAGTTAAGACTACAGAAGAAGTGGCCAGTTTCCTAGAAGAAGTGGCCAGTTTCCTAGAAGGGGGGTTGCAAGTGTTTCCTGCTTCCGCTGATGTGGACGGACCTTGTGTCATCACTTAGGAATTTACTGGGCGTGCTTTTACTGATAAGAGTTTTCTTCAAGCGCCATTATTATTAAGAAGCCTGTGCAACTGAATGGACTTAAGTTTTAAGCTAGCTGAGGCTGCTGATTTATCGGAGCAGTGACAAGATTTATGGGCTTACTTTGTATATAGTGTAAATGTCTTTACGACTACAATTAAAGCTGTTTATTGCTGATTTTGGCTGCTGAGCTGTGAAATGCTTCCAGCGATTGATGGGTGTTTTGTGTGGGACCCACAAGCCTGCTGAGTCCTCACGAGAGTGATGGATGGTAACTCACACCCAGGAATTTTCCAACATTATCTGTATGCAGATGGCCTCCAAATCTGTCACTCCTTCCCACCTGTTACTAAGGAGGGGGTCCAGACTTTGAACCGGGGCTTGGCAGCTGTGTCGGACTGGATGAGGGCTAACAAATTGAAATTCAGTCCAGACAAGACAGAGGTCCTCCTAGTCATTTGAAAGGCCAAACAGGGCATAGGGTTACAGCCTGTGTTGGATGGGGTTACACTGCCCCTGAAGATGCAGGTTTGCAACTTGGGTGTGATCCTGGACTCATCGCTGAGCCTGGAACCCCAGATCTCAGCAGTGGCCAGGGGAGCTTTTGCACAGTTAAAACAGCGCCTGTACCTTGGCAAGTCTGATCTGGCTATGGTCGTCCACGCTCTGGTTACATCCCGAATAGATTACTGCAACTCATTCTACATGGGGCTGCCTTTGAAGATAGTTCGGAAACTGCAGCTAGTCCAATGTGCGGGAGCCAAATTACTAACAGGAGCTACATACAGGGAGCATGCCACTCCCTTGTTGTGTCAGCTCCACTGGCTGCTGGTCCTCTTCCGAGCTCAATTCAAAGTGCTGGTTTTGACCTATAAAGCTCTATACAGTTCTGGCCCAGCTTACTTGCCCGAATGCATCTGCCTCTATGTCCCACCTCATAACTTAAGATCATCCGAGGAGGCCCAGCTCTCGCTCCCGCCAACATCGCAAACACGGCTGGCAGGGACGAGAGACAGGGCCTTCTCGGCCGTGGCCCCGCCTGTGGAATGTGCTTCCAAATAAGATACTATCGACCCTATCCCTCCTGGCTTTCAGGAAGAAATTGAAATCGTGGTTCTGGGACCAGGCTTTTAGACAGCAGACATAAATCAGCACTTTGGTTGGGAATGGACTGGTAAGGCAATATAGATGAGGATATGTTTTTATTGTTTAATTAATGCTTCATGTACTGTTTTAATTAATGTTTTTATGTATTTTAATGGTTAGTGTATTTTTAATTGTTTATATGTAATGGTGTAGTGAATCTACTTCCAGTTAGGCTTAGAATAGGCCTAGAAAATGGTAGGCTGTAATGATTCTTACCTAATAGGCCAGAATAGAAGCCTGGGAAGACAGTAGGGCAAACCTCCATTTTGAGAGTGTCTGCCAGTAAAGCAGCCATCTTGAGGGAGGATAGATAGAAGATGGGAGGAGTTAGAGGTCTCCTGGGATTGGCTAGAGCAGAGGAGGAGAAGCCAAGTCTTGGGAGGGAAAAAGATTTCAGCTTCTGAGAGAGGAGAGAGATTTGGGAACTGCAGGGAGAAGAAGTGGTTTGGAGGCTGGATATTTCTGAGAGTGTGTTTTGTGACAGGGCAGGGCTGAATAGCTGACAAGAAAGGTCAGGCAGCATCCTGATTACCTGTGGGAGACAACACAAGGGATTTGCTCTCTAGTTTGAGTAAGTTAACTGTAAGGAATCTGGGGAGAGTTAGCTAATTACTCAGAAGACAGCCTGGGATAGGTTAGTCAAGAACTCATTGCTATTTCACTGAAGTAGAGTGAGGGATTTTGTTTGTAACCAGTAGTTATATCTGTGAGATTAGCTCTGTTTGTATCCAAGTCTTAAATTT